TGTTGTTGTTGTTGTTGTTGTTGGTGGTGGTGGTGTTGGTGGTGTTGGTGGTGTTGGTGGTGTTGTTGTTGTTGTTGTTGTTGTTGTTGTTGTTGTTGTTGTGGTTGTGGTTGTGGTTGTGGTTTTGGTTGTGGTTGTGGTTGTGGTTGTTGGTTGTTGGTTGTGGTTGTGGTTGTGGTTGTTGTTGTTGTTGTTGTTGTTGCTGCTGTTGTGGTTGTTGTTGTTGTTGTTGCATTTAGGACCATTGCTGGCCCTATAACATCGTGCCAACTACAACCGACATCATTGATCTTATCCTCGTAAACAGCTGCTGCTTTCATGTTTCATGTCTTGATTAGACTTGTTTGTGCTATTCTGTTGTTGATGCTGCTGCTTTTGATGCTATAACTACCTGAGCTTTGTCGCTAGCGTCTCTATAGTATGCTGTGGCCCTCTCCGTTCTGTCCGAGCTCAGGCTTTGTGTCATTCCGGGCCGCCCAAGACGGCGCCCGCGGAAGAAGTGAAGCCCAAAGTCAGAGCCATCGTTTGAAGGCTGGCTAAAATTATGCCATGACAGCAAGCCAGGGTGATAGTGTCAGTTTTTCTCAGTGTATCTTAGAGTGGGCGTGGGCCAGAAAAGTCTTTCACCTATTGTACAAGTTAGAGGTCAACGTAGAGAGTAAGTAAAAGTAGTGTATAGAAAGCCAGCGGCACCTCTAGAAACTCGCGACTTGTTCATCAGGCTTAGGAAGCGGACATGCGCTACCTTAATTCAAGGACAGCGTCTCACACTGCAAGCCTACAACAAACCTATTGGCGTGCGACTTGCACCTCCGCAAAATCTGATGGAGCGACAGTGGCTTGCATCTGATGTTCTCGCTTGCAAGCCAGGTTTCTTGGCAGAGCCAAGGCAAAAGCTAGCCCTTGGACCAGTCCCTTGGACCGAGGCACCCGGAATACATACTGCTTCCTGAAGCCATACACCTTTTGGGACCGCTATGCTGCTCACTGCCAGCATGAAGCGAACACATGAAGTTACATGCCAGCCTAAAATCGACAAGACGTAGGAAACGGAACGCACTGGGACTCCAGCAGGGTCGGTGGAGCCAACACAGATTTTTCGCATCCTGCACCTACTACTCCGTACTCCTACTCCTACTCCTACTGCTGCGACTACGAATATGACTCCAACACAAAAAGACTAGACCAATAACAAAGATGCTTGTCATTATCATACGTATAGTACTGCAATGTACTACACATAGACGCCATAGTCGTAGTCATATGGTTAGTCACTAGTCATACAGTCATACATGAAGTAGTTCCTAGCCCCGACCCCTTAAGCCCCGAACCGAGAGCCCTACACTTGCTCATACTCTACATCCGCTTGAATTCCCAAGGTCCACAGTCTTGAATCCTAAACCGCCAAAGCCTACACCCCAATTCCAAACCCTGCCTGCTTGTGCGAGCGTGCGAGTCGAAACCCGAACCCAAACCCCTTGGAAGCAGAGCCTTCCTGCAAGCATGTGCGTGAGCCGTCTAACCTGGGCCAAGTCCTTCGGACTTGCCATGCGGGAGCCAACTAAAAGCTCGCAGAACACCCTTAACAAAAGCCGCCCCATCATTCTATTATGAAGCCGTCACAACCCCGAATTCCGTCATCCAGAACCCTAAAATCGCGATATAATCCTTGAAGGAATCCTACCGAAACCCTCAAAACCCCTAAACCCTAAAGCCCTAAACCCTACAAACCCATGTGCCTGAGCCTCCATGGCCTCGCACCGAACGCGCCAAAGCCCGGAGCCTCTTGGCACCGCCCGAGCGCGCGCCGGAGCCGAGGCTTTGGGAAAGAGTCTCTACCCATAGGCCCTTAGTAGTTCCTTTTTGGGATTACCTTGTAGGGTTAGGGATAGGCCCCATAGCAGTTCCTTTTTGGGATTAGGTTTTGCGGTTTGTTAGGATTCAAGGTTTAGGGTTTAGGGTTTAAATGGCTACGGCTCAAGCCATTTTGCTACGAGACCCAAAAGGGTATTGCATGAGATTGTCAGCAACTGAGCGTGAGCGTGCGCCATGTCCTTTCCACAGCACAAGTTGTCTTCATGTATGGGCTACACTTTGCGGCTTGCGAAGAAGATGAGTGTTCCGTCGGAGGTGACGTTTCATCTGAATGCGGCCTTGTATCATTTAAATCTTGCAGTGCCTTTGCATACGGTACCGCCGGTGACAATTTGTCTGGCGGAGGTGGTTGCCCTTCCTGGTCTGGAAATGTGTGCCGGAAACGTCAGCATGAAGCCGGACGGGATGAAGAAGGATGTAAACACAGATGATCAGCCACTCGTCCAACATGACGACATGCCACCCCAGAACGATAAACTAGCTTGGGCAAACGCTTTCTGTGATCGGGCTGCACAGACGGATATTGCGGTCATATCGCGGCAAGACTGCGAAAGGATTGTTCATGAGGCCCATAATGGATTGATGAAACACATGCAGCAGATGGAGGCTCTTCAGCAGCGACTACGCCGTTTAGAAGCTGCAGACTGCTCAGCTATCGAAATGCATCAGGGGCATTCTGCGTCCTCTTCTAGTGGTGTTCCGATGGAGTTGCCTTCTGCCCAACATCTCTCACTCATTGACAGTTTGAAAGAGCAGCACCGTCAGAGACGACTCGCTCTCAAGGAGGAGCGCAGGCAGCAAAGAAGTGCACAATCTATTCAAAGCAGTACTATCTGAATTCTACACCATTGCTTTCTGAATTCGACACTAATTGCTGATTTGTAGGTAGAGACCTGCAGATGTGCCGAGCATGCTGCAAACAAGGGAGTGGTGTGAAACATGCTCCCCCTACCTTTCCCAGCAGAGGCGCCGCAGGCTGGATGCAAAAAAGGGTTTAGGGTTTACCTGAAGTTTACCTTATAGGATTCTAAATATGGACCCCCCAAAAAGGAACTACTATCGGGCCTATGGGTAAAGCTTGAGGGCTTCAGGGGGATCCTTCAAAAGGGCATTTGCGAGGGAATGGAATGCTGGTAGCAGCAGGATCTCTATCAGTTTTGAATTGCAGTCAGCTTTGTTGCCACTCGTAGTGCATACATCGAATGACGATAACAAGACTGCAGTAGTCGCAACAGAAAGCAGTGGGAATGAACGTCGGAATCATAGTCAGATGCTCACAGCCCGAGTAATCCGAACCGTAGTATGCCTGTCATCCGTGATGACCGTACATGTTGCTCGGATCAGGAATCCTTTCTGCATCGCCTCCACTCAGACGGCGCAGTGCTGCTCTTGGCGTGGCGGTTGCCGCTGCAGGAGTGCGGCGGAAGTCCTGCAGGCTGCGGCTTACATGCTTGCTTGCTTTGAGTATCTTTGAGTTCTAGCATTCAGAGACACATAAGCCCAAATCCCTAGTGCTGTTTGCGGCAGTAGTAACAGTAGTAGTACTACTCGACGTCGTCGCTGTCGTAGTGGCAGTCGTCGTTGTCGTTGTCGTTGTCGTTGTCGTTGTCGTTGTCGTAGT